GTCCCTACAGCAGCAGCAGGTACTATCAAAGCTGATCCAGCTGCAAAGAGATAAAATTATTACTTAAGGAGGGCTTTAATCATGTTGACACAACAGCCTAAATATAAAAGATATACCGAATTTTACACAAAGATCTGAAAGAACATTCCATTTGCAGGCTTACTTTAACACATGTTTGTTTGGTACCATATATATTCTAGCAGGCTTTTTTCTTCTGTTTTGTCTTCTTGGTTTTGTCTCAGTTGAGAGCTTCTTTTTCTTGTTTCGGGTTGGGTGGTTTTCAGGTCGAGGGTGCGGTGAGGAGACCGTGGTTGTACAGGGCCTAGTCGGTTGTTCTTGTTTGTAAACCTTTTTTCTTGTTCTATCGTCTAATAAAAATATGGCAAAGCTTTTGCCGCCCTTCTAAAAAAAATATTCTAGCAGAAACAGATGGTGATATGCAAAGTAGCGGAAGTTCAACACTTAGTTGTCATAGCAGTAGCGGAGAAGAACAGATAAAGAGATTTTCAGTTTGTCTCCATGCAATATGATGGTTGGGTTTAGTAAAGCATAATATGCATGCATGACGAGCCAATGCATGTTAATTAAGACAGGATTGGATGGTATGTAATGGTAAGACAGGAACCGGACAGCTAGCAGAACAAACAGATTCAAGCGCAGTACGTAGTTGAGGTGACAGACCTCCGTTTCCTGTATCCACCTGAATAATAGGTCTTGTCACGACGTGATGAACCTCGTTGGTCAATTGAGCAAGTGCTTTAGCCACCTAAATAAAACAGAACAGCGTGCTACATTAATTATATGCTAGCACAAGGTACACGCATCATGCCGCGTCGTTCATATACAAGCAGAAGCAGGGCGTTGCGCGATGCACGATGCACGATGCACGCATGACGTACTATGTTAGTGTCGTCGTTGACGGGGGCCGATTCCACTCCCGCCCCCTTCTCTCTAAGAGACTCCTGCGAAGGCAGCATCATCAGGAAATCAAACGCGGATCAGAATTCAGAGCTGAAAGCACAATGCAAACACGCCGCAGGGTGTAGATCGTAGATCGATCGGAGTGGTGCGCCGCCGCACGCACCTGAAGATCGCGGAGGAGCTCGCCGAGTTTGCCGCTGCGGGCAGCGATGGGGCCGCCGACAGCACCTGCACGATCGATCCGGATGAGAAAAAAAAAAGGAGAAGGAGAATTGGAGGGGAAAAAACAAAGGCACGCGCGTGGGCCGTGTTGCGGGTTCTAAGCACCGGAAGAGCTAGCTAGCTCGATCTAGTAAATCATAGGGTAGCATGCAGCAGATCGATCGACGGGCAAGTGCACAACGGAGTATGGGGCGGCGGCGTTACGCACCAATGCCGACGAGGAGGACGAAGCGGGTGAGGCCCATGCCGGCTTGCACCACGGCCATTGTGCTGGTGCCTGCCGAGGCGGCGTGTGCTATCGCTGGCTGCGTGCCCACTGCGGCGGCGGACAGGAGCTTAGGCGGCGTGGCGGGGGAGGAGCGAACTATAATAAACCCTGGCTTAGGCGAGGGGTCACGGTTTTAACCGGCGGGCGGGGTCGCGCGCGAGCGGTCACGGTTATAACTGTGTCCAACCATAAATCCAGTAGGAACACGAAGCCTCCTTATTTAACGAAGCGTTAAGTTCACTTTTGGCCCTTTAAATATTGTGTTCGTCTGATTTTAATCTCCAACTATAAAACCGTCTAGTATTGGTACCCTAACTGTCAAAACCGTTCACTTTTAGCACATAGCGCGGAAGAGGCGGTTTTGTCCGGCGTGGAACGGGTTTGACCATGCCACGCTGGCATTGACCGCCACGTAGGACGCTGACCTGCATCTCAGTGACAAATGGGGCCCGCGCGTCACCCACTCATTCCCTCCCCTCCTTCCTCTAGCTCCAGCAGCATTCGGACCGTGCAATCGAGTCGTCGTCGCCACCACCGGACAAGCAGACCGTTGTGCCATGGCCGGCGAGCGCAGCTGCTACACACGCTGCGAGGCGTGCGAGGGCCGTCGAATCCGCCGCCCAGCTCGTGTGTCGTCTAGCTCCGCCGAGCTCAAGCACCACCAGTCGCGCCATTGTAGCCGCTGCTCCCCTTGCAATCATTCGCCGCCGTCTGGCTGCCACGCCACCGCTGAGCGAGCTTGCGCGCGGGCTGCCACGTCGGGCTAGCTAAGCCACCGTCATGCTCACGCGCTAGGGCCACCGGACGAGCAGGCGGCTACGCCATGGCCGACGAGTGCGCGCGAGCGGGACGCCGTGTTGCTGCCTCCATTGGCTGCCCCTGGCGGAGGCGCCCTTGGCCTGCGGCCCCTGTCCCTGCAGTGATGCGTGGCGGAACCCTGGCAGCATCCCACCGGAGGAACATCCCCTCTAGCGGTGGGTAGCTGAGCGCCGCGCCGTAGCAGCTCGCCGGCGAATTGGAAGCCGCCCCACGACGTCATCTTCCAGGTGCCGGCCATGATGGCCGCGGTGTTGAGCACGGAGAGCGTGGTGGCGGGAGAAGCGGTGGTGGAGCAGCCCGTGAAGTCGAAGACGCGCCGTCTGGCATGACCTCCCGTCGTCGGCCTTCTTTGGTGAGGTCGAAGTCAAAGCGCGCGCGCGTTGAGCAGCTCTGGCGGCGCCGACGCAGAAGAGCTAACCGGTGAGGGCGTTGAGCACCCAGAACCTCTCGCTCGTTCCACCACGCGTGTGCGAGTCCAGCCTCCGCGCTAGCCACGCACACCTCCGCCAAAAGAAGCAGGCGAGGATGCGAGGCCTGGCGCCGCTGCGGCGGCGGGGCAGAGAAGAGCGGGACGCGCGAGGAGGAGGCAGAGCTGCGGCAGGTGGCGAAAGGAGGGCACGGAATGGCGAGAGCGCGTGGCGAAGCCGAAGTAGGTGTAGCCCATGGCCTGGAGCAGGGAGGCGCGAAGGAGCGAGCGGCAGGCGAGCGGGGAGTGCCTCCTGGAGACGCCGACGGCGAGCATCCCGGACATCCAGAGCTTGTTCTGGACCAGCACGTCGTTGAGGTTGGTGGGTACGCTGTCGAGGAACGCCGGCCGCGGCTCCGGGTAGCAGTAGGCGGACGTCTAGCCCTGCGAGAAGAAGCGCTCGTACCCCGTGAAGTAGTCCTCCACCACCGACGGGTACATGAAGCCGACGCCCGTGCCCCAGGCTGTGCCCGCCTCGTACGCGTAGGAGGCCACCAGCGCCAGGGAGGCGGCGTCCGCGTCCGTAGCCCGCTTGAGCGCCACCGCCCTGCTCGCGCGCCGCCACCGCAGCCTGCTCGCGTACTGCCATGCTGCTTGCGCGCTGCCGCCGTAGCCTGCTCGCCACCGGTGACGGGAGGAAAGAGAGGGGCCAGCGTGGCACGGTCAACGCCAGCTTGGCATGGTTAAAACCGCCCCACGTCCGACAAAACCGCCACACCGCGACGAGGTGCTAAAAGTGAACGGTTTTGACAGTTATGGTACCAACACTAGACGGTTTTATAGTTGGGGTTAAAATCAAACGAACACGATAGTTGAGAGGCCAAAAGTGGACTTAATCCTTTAATAAATAATAGCTAGTACAATATTCAGCAGGATGAAGGCACGCGAATCCGACGTCAGCCATACTACCACACTGCGGAAGCATGCATGTTGCGTGTTGCCCGGCGCTGGTGCCTGCCGTCGCTGAAGCCACCGTAGACCAATGCGCCAAGATCCTCTCCGGCCACCAAGTCACCAACCAGCCCTGCGAGTGCGGAACCAGCATCGTGTCCCTGTAGCCGGCCCCGGTGCAGTACGGTGCAGCATCGTATCATAACGCCTGCCGCCCTCCAGCAGGTACGGTGCAGCGCCGTCGCCGCGGGGCGTCCTCCTGGCCCTTCGGCCCTAGTATTTCCCTGGAGGCGCACGAGGTGACTCTTGCCAAAATTGGCGTCTCTCGCTGTGTATATATCCACGCCAACTGACGCCGAAAGTCTGGCGCTCGAAATCGCCGCCTCACTTTTGACAAGGCGTGCTGTGTATATCCACGCCAACTGACGCCAGAAGTCCGAAATCGCCGCCTCACTTTTGGCATGCCGTAGTTAGAGCTTCCCCAACGCACCACCGTGTACTACTGCATCAACTTCCACGTCTGCACCTCTAGTCTAAATCATCATGAGTAGTAGTCCCGCAGTGCGCCAGAGCTTCTTGCAGAGGAGTCCATGGCTCCATCTGACAAAAGGATGAAGCATCCTTTGTAGCGCGCGTTGCAGCCAGGAAGTGAGCTGCCTCCACTGGCCCCCAACAAAATAAAAGCTGAATACTTGCAGCAGAGAGGGAGATAAAGCTATCCGCTTGGATCACACCAAACCAGCTGCCTTCGATGTGAGTTTTGACAGCTCTACTTTTTTTTTTATCTATAAGTACCATTGCTTTTGGCTGAGGCCAACAAGCTTGTAGCCTGCGTTGGTGAAGCCCTTATGGTGTGGCAAGCTGAGGGAACGTACCAAACAGATCCTTGATGGGGCGTCCCTTTCTTTAGTTTGGACCAAGAGCGTGCTGCGAGCGAGCAGTTGCCTATGACAAACACCGGGACACCAAACAAATTCCCCAGGAGGCCAGGACTCTTTCCTAGGGAGCTTGTAGCCTTGTGATGGCGGGCACCGCGTGTTTGGATCTGTTGGAATTTTCACCAACGAGATCAGGCAAAACAGCCATCATCAATCAATAGTTAAATTTTCGTCCGTCGAGGAAAAATAAATAAGCTTCAACGTAATACCATCTCTCACAAACCACGTATGTTGGTTTTTACACAAAAGTCACTAGACTACACTCGTACAACCTTTTGCCCTGCAGAGGTACGCTACAAGAAACCCCCTCTTTACTGTCAGCAATGCTGGAGGCAAACTACTAGTGCCGGCACCGTAGGCACACGCACACGCATGCTGGCAATTTCACCCAACGGCAACAGTTGCCGACGTATAATAATAGTACATGCCACTAGAATTTCAAACAGTGCCACCATGCCAGCCCAAGGGCTTGAATCTAGTCAGACTCGTTGCCAGAATCCACATCAGCTGTAGCTTCACCTCGATAGACGGCGGACTCTTTTTCATAACGTTTCTTGTCGACCTGGGCCTGCTGGATGTAAGGCTGCTTCTCTTCGCCTGCTCATGACAAGGAACGTGGGAACCGTAAGCACACAGCTTTTGTTTTAGCTGTAAACATGACGACAAAACATTGCAAAATTTGCCTCACAGATGAAACAATGCTGATACTATTACTCGGATAATATAATGGAGAGTGATCTAGAATATTACTTGACATCTTTTGCCACATCTCCCCAAGCTTCTTTGCAATCTCAGTCGTAGGCAAATCTGGGTTGCTGCTCTTCATGTTCTGCATCATCAAAAATAAACTTTAAACTTCTGTCCAATATCAGTTTCTAGTGTGGGAAGGTTTCTGCTCTACCCTCAGTGTCACAAAATATCTAAACGACCTAATATGCTGGGAATGATTAACCAAAGCAACTTACTCCTCGCTCAGCCATTGAGAAATACATGAACGGTGTCATTGCTCTTTTGGGGGCATTAGGATCTTTTTTCTTCTTTGCCTTTTTCTTCTCATGTCCTTCGTCATCCCTGCCCTTAGGCTTCCTTTTCTGAACTGGCTTTGAACTGCTTGCTTCCTTCTTGGATGATTTCTGTGGAGAAAACAACTGCATATTACATCATGGCTTCAGGCTTGCTACAGGTCTACAACAACAATAAATTTAAAAATACCTCTTTTTCACCACCACTATCACTAGCATCTGATTCCTCATCACCCGAGTCATCAGTAGGAGATCCACTATCATCCTTATCCGCAACAAAATCTTCATCCTAAAATGAAGATAAATAATAAGTACATAGAAGGGCTCAGTAATAAGATTAACAAGGCAGCATCAAGCAACATAACAAGAAGGCAGCATACCTCTTCATCACTTTCATCATCCCCAGCCTGATTCTTAATACGCTCTAGATGTGGATCAACGGCATCATCATCAGTGTCTCGTAGAACATCTGTAACTACACCACTTGCACCTTGACCATCTCCTCCAAGGTTCATTATTTTAATGTTCTTTCCACTAAAAAAAAGATCAAAAATAAGGAGAGGAAAACTTAAGTTTCTGTATAACATGAAAGATGATGAAGGCAATAAAAGGGACAACATACTTGATGAAGTTGAAGAGGTTGTGGTACTCATTCCTTTGAATATTTCTGAAGAGATGCTCTTGGTCATTTTTCAGTTTGACAAGGAGGTCAAAATAGTGAGATGATATACTGGCACCCCCAGCACCATGACGTTCAAATTCAACAAACTCAATCTGCATTGAGAATGTAATAAACAGCAGTTACTACGAATGGACACTGAGAGTTCCAACCACAAATATAAACTGATACCTCCTCATGAAGAATGAGTGTAGGTGGCTTTGGCAGGAAGAAGAAACCCTTTTCAAGTGGATACAACAGTCCATCTTCAGCTTTGAGTGATGATTTAACTGCATATCCATCTTGGCAACTTCTGAAAGAACCTGGCCTTGTGACTTTAGCACCAGATAGACCACGAAGGACTTTGGTAAATACCTCATGTATTAGACCCTATGGATATATTGAGAACAGTGTAAGAAAAAGGAATAAGTTAGTGTAGTTACCAGCAAGTATCGATTACATACTTGTTCAAAGAAATAAAAATAAATGACATGAGAGTTGAATAGAACTAGCTACTGAGATAGTCCAATAAATGGAAGATTGCCTAAATGGCACATTTTTCAAGGATTTCTAAAACTTAAGCTCTACATCTTCACACTTGCAAACATCAGCACACATTATTCTTTTAGAAAAATAAAGAAGGTGAAAAGACATGGAGCCTTAGTTGATCATGAACAACAACAACAACAACATAGCCTTTCAGTCCCAAGCAAGTTGGGTAGGCTAGAGTTGAAACCCACCAAGAGCCCCAAGTCACAGTTTAGGCACTTCAATAGCTGCTTTCCAAGTACTCCTGTTCAAACATAGATCTCTAGGTATATCCCAAGCTTTCAAATATCTTTTTATTACCTCCTCCCATGTCAATTTCGGTCTTCCTCTACCTCTCCTCATATTATTAGCTTGGCTTAGGACTCCACAATGCACTGGTGCCTCTGGAGGTCTTCTTTGGACATGGTCAAACCACCTCAACCGATGTTGGACAAGCTTTTCTTCAATTGGTGCTACTTCTAGGCGTTTACGTATATCATCGTTCCGAGCTCGGTCCATTCTTGTGTGACCGCAAATCCATCGCAACATACGCATTTCTGCAACACTCAGTTGTTGAACATGTCGAATCTTTGTAGGCCAACATTCTGCTCCATACAACATAGCCGGTCTAATCGCTATTCTATAGAACTTGCCTTTTAGCTTTTGTGGCACCCTCTTGTCACAGAGAATGCCAGAAGCTTGTCGCCACTTGATCCACCCTGCTTTGATTCTATGGCTAACGTCCGCATCAATATCTCCGTCCCTCTGTAGCATCGATCCCAGATACCGAAATGTATCCTCCTTAGGCACTACTTGACCTTCCAAACTCACATCTCCCTCCTCTTGTACAACTCCGTCAAAGTCACATCTCATGTATTCGGTTTTAGTTTTGCTCAATCTAAAACCTTTAGACTCAAGGGTCTGCCGCCATAACTCTAGTTTCCTATCTACTCCCGCCTGGCTTTCGTCCACTAACACTACATCATCAGCGAACAACACCAAGGGATATCCCCTTGTATGTTCCTGGTAACCTCATCCATTACCAAGGCAAAGAGATACGGGCTTAAGGCTGACCCTTTATGAAGTCCAATTTTAATCGGGAAGTAATCTGTGTTACCATCGTTTGTTCGAACACTAGTTACAACATTGTTGTACATGTCCTTGATGAGGGTCACGTACTTTGATGGGACTCTATGTTTGTCCAAAGACCACATAACATTTCTTGGTATCTTGTTATAAGCCTTCTCCAAGTTAATGAAAATCAAGTGGAGGTCCTTCTTCTACTCTCTAAACCGCTCCATAACCTGTCTTATTAAGAAGATTGCTTCTGTGGTTGACTTTTCGGGCATGAAACCAAATTGGTTTATTGATATCTGCGTCGTTCCTCGCAGGCACTGCTCGATGACTCTCTCCCATAACTTCATAGTGTGGCTCATCAATTTAATTCCTCGATAATTAGTACAACTTTGGATATCTCCCTTGTTCTTATAGATTGGTACCAATATGCTTCTTCTCCACTCCTCAGGCATCTTATTTGATCGAAAAATATTGTTGAATTAGCCATACTATAGCTATATCCCCGAGACATCTCCACACCTTGATTGGGATACCATCAGGGCCAATCGCTTTGCCCCCTTTCATCCTTTTCAAGGCTTCTCTGACCTTCGATTCTTGAATCCTCCGCACAAAGCGCCTGTTAGTGTCATCAAACGAGTCGTCCAGCTGAACAGTAGTGTTCTCGTTCTCACCATTGAACAATTTATCAAAATAATCTTGCCATCTATGTCTGATCTCATCCTCCTTAACCAAGAGCTGCTCCCTCTCATCCTTTATGCACTTGACTTGATTGAAGTCCCTTCGTCTTCCTGTCGCGAGCCCTAGCCATCCTATAAATGTCCTTCTCTCCATCCTTCGTACTCAAATGTCGGTAAATGTCCTCATAGGCCCACCCATTTGCCTCACTCACCGCTCGTTTTACAGTCTTCTTTGCCATCTTGTACTTCTCTATGTTGTTTGCACACCTGTCATGATACAAGCGCTTATAGCACTCCTTTTCCTTAATAGCCTTTTGCACATCTTCATTCCACCACCAAGTGTCTTTCGAGTCGCATCCACTCCCTTTGGTCACTCCAAGCACCTCTGAAGCAACCTTTCGAATGCATGTTGCCATCTTCTCCCACATGTTGTTTGCATCGCCTTCATCATTCCAAGAGCCCTCTTCAATGGCATTTTCCTTAAAGACCTTTGATGCCTCCCCTTCTAATTTCCACCACTTCGTTCTAGCAACCCTAGCTTGTTTGTTCCCACGAGCTTGCACCAGAAAGCAGAAGTCAGCCACCACCAGCTTGTGTTGAGCGACCACATATTCTCCAGGTATCACCTTACAGTCCACGCATGTTCGTTTATCCCTCCTTGTAAGGACAAAGTCGATTTGACTAGAGTACTGGCCGCTACTAAATGTCACTAAATGGGACTCTTACGGAAGAAAGTGTTAGCTATCATCAGATCAAAAGCTATGACAAAGTCTAAGACTTCCTCTCCCTCCTGGTTCCTACTACCATATCCGAAACCCCCATGAACCACCTCGAAACCTGCACTTGATGTACCTACATGGCCATTAAGATCACCTCCTATAAAGAGCTTCTCGCTACTAGGGACAGCTCTAACCAAGCGATCTAAGTCTTCCCAAAAAAGCCGCTTAGCACTCTCATCATGGCCTACTTTGGGGGCATACGCACTAATTACGTTTAAGACCATATCACTAATGACAAGTTTGACTAAGATGATCCTATCCCCTTGCCTTCTCACCTCCACCGCACCATCTTTGAGGCTCTTATCAATCAAAACTCCTACTTCATTTTTATTTGAAGTTGTCCCTGTGTACCAGAGCTTGAAGCCGGTATTGTCCACCTCCTTCGCCTTCTGCCCCTTCCATTTAGTCTCTTGGACGCATAAGATATTTACACGCCTCCTAACCGCTATGTCCACTAACTCTCTTAACTTACCTGTAAGGGACCCTACATTCCAGCTACCTAAACGGATCCTAGTTGGCTCGACTAGCTTCCTTACCCTTCGCACCCGCCGAGGTAGGTGTGAAGACCCTTGCTCATTTTGCACCACACCCGGGCGCCGATGTGGCGCGCCACTAAGGATGCGACGACCCGATCCTTGCTCACTTGACACCGTGTCCAGATCACGACACGGCGCGTCACGGGGGTGACGACCCGACCCTTGCTCATTTAACACCATACCCGAGTTCCGACATGGCGCGTCGCTAAGAGGGTTACACCCCAACGGGATTCTTTTGGGTTTCATCTCCATTAAAGTGGCTTAGTTTTTACATTGGCTCGCCGCACCTAACACAACGCTCCTCCTTTACCAGGGCTTGGGACCTGCTATGCTGGGACACCAAAGGCGCCCCACCATAGGCGGAGTTTAGTTGACCATGAAGAGGAAAAAAATAGCCACCCAGTAAATTACCACCAAAAGCATGCAATATTGTATAAAATCAGCACATGTATTGACTTAAGAGCACAGAAATTCAGACTATCAATGTTCAATCTTTTTTGTATAATTATAGCAGCACATACTACAACCATCCCCCGAAAACCCAAACGTATCTAAAATATTATGGTTTAGCCTTCTGCAAGGGGAGGCAGAACAGTGCAATTTATCCTGACTGATATTGTCTCTCATAATGCCCAACAAATTCAGATCATAAATTGCATGGATGAGCATGAAAAAACATTTGGAATAATTAGTATTCAGTTCCTCAATATACATCTATTTTAATATTAGAAGTTCTAGTAAATTAGATCAACTATCTCAATATGGAGAGTAGTAGGTATTAAAATAGTTCTTTTCTCAAATTATGAAAATATAATGGAGAATACTGAACATGGAATTAAGGAGACAGCACACTGTTGCACAGTCCCTTGATAACAGAAGATGGGCGCAAAATATTAAAGGAATTCTCACTTTCCAGGTTAGAATGAAGTATCTGCAGATTTGGATAGGATACATATCAAAAGAGTAATTAAGTGTTTGCTCAGCCTAACTTCACGTATCAGCTTCAAATCCAAAACACATTTGGCAAAGGTATAGCACAATTATTAAGAAAGCATAGAAGGCAAGATGCATTATGCTAATGGAAAAAGCTCGCAGGTGACCACAATATCTCTCAACAGGATACACAATTCTTGAGATAAGAGTTCGCCATACTCAGAAATTTTGTTTCAACATGTTAATTTTATTTTAGAAACCAGGATTCAGTCTTCAACTGGAATGGATCAAGTCAATAAGTAAACAGTATTCTTTCAAATTAACAGACACCACCTTGTAAGATTCCTCAAGCCTGTCCTTGTATTTGTCAACCAACAGCTCTTTACTCAATGCCAGGTCTCTTTCAACTACTGCCTCTGTCTCAAACTATTAATAAGAGATAAGGGAACAAATTAGTCTATCTATTCAAAACAAATCCTGAAATGAAGTGGTAATGACTATAACCAACTAAACATTATGAAAAAATTGCAGTGCAATACCTGAATAACAATGTGAGGATACAATGTTTGTCCTTTACGGATTGGTGGATCAAGAGTGATAACAACAAACGTATGAGGATTGTTTGACTGCAAAGCTCAACCATGCAATGGGTTTAGTGTCAGAATGTAATGTTATGCACAACAATAAAGCACAGCTCAACATAGGATACAAGAACAGAACCTTTGGCAAAAGAAAGAGGCGAACAATGCTGCTGTATTGGATTTTGAAATCATTAGCTTGTCCTTGGAGTCGCAGAAATGACAGATGAAGCTCAACACTATAACGTCCTCTGTATTGCCAAAACAAAAATCATTAGTTTTCTTAGCTCAACAATCTTGTGTTTCTCATAAGGTAAATGGTTCATATTTTCCACCTTGGTGTAAGAATTGCAATTCCGTCAAACGTGACAACTGGTTCTTCAGAAGAACCAACATCAGCAAATTTCAATATAGTCTCCCATAAAATCTACAGAAAATAGATAGGTTTTCATTAGTTAGTATTTTGCAACTTCAATGTGCTTCATTTAAACAGTGCTTACTGAGTGAGCTTACGTGAGCCGGAGGGCGATTCTCATCCCCAACAAACTGAGTATTCGAAGTAGGCACATGAAAACTTAAATCCATGAGGGAGTCTTTCTGCAACCATGAGGGATTAAAATGTTAGCACAGTACTATGGCAATGCAGAAAATATGAGTGGATCCACTACAACTACTGTCCACTACAAACCTCATTGGCTCCAGTAGTATCATCAACATGAAGCTCTAAGAGAACATCTGTTTTTCCTTGCATCTGGGTTTGTGCAACATCTGCTAGGGATACTTCAAATGCTTGCTTTGAACCAACCATAAAGGTTAGCATGTTTCCTACAGAGGCAAGGGTAACAAACATCAAAATCAAACTGAACATATGTTAAAAGGGGTCCCATGTTAAAATAATAAAAGGTCACCCAAATTACCATCTATATCAATCCCTCCCCAATTGTGGCCACTAACAGAAAGCTGTTTTTCATCTGGTGTGACGCCCATATTCTTTTGTATGAAGTTGGTCAAGCTGCTCACATCCTATGCAAGAAAGGACAAGATCAAATATTTTCGTCAGGTAACAATAAGAGAAATATATTAACCTCACCATTCATCTTTACTGAAAAGTCAAAGCATACTCTCAGAAATGACTGACAATATTTTAAGACAACCAAATCCAAAGAAAATCTGATAATCCAAATATAATTTTGAATTTTCCATCTTTGAATAACACTGCATACAGAATCATGAACAATATTCCTTCAAATATTATCTATAGGTAAGTCTTAACTACATAATAGATACAGTATGTACAAAAGATACCATATTCTGCAAGACTTGTTTAGGACAGGCATACCAAATGGCATGAAAGAATATAGTAACTGTTCACCTTAATTTGAACAAGAAGAGTTTGCTTTAGTGGATATAAAGATCGAACTGCTCAAGGTTTAATCAACACATGAAAAACATATACCAAAATAAGATGTCACATATAGCAAGGCAGAAACTATTCAGTTTCACAGCAGAGTAACTTGGGCAAACTAAGCATTCTCCTTTTCCATGATCTAATTCATATTATAGCGATATTCATTATAATCATATGCCATATTAAGATAGAAAATCTGGTCAGCAAAGTGGATTTCCAAAATTCTAAGAAAACTAGACAAAGCTAGTGCTACTTTTAACTGTATAAGTTTTGCATCAACAAATATATCCTAATTTTACTGAGAAATGCATCCAGATTTAAGTGTTCTAAATACACAATTCTCCAGATGCAGCAGCCTCTTTATTTCCAATACCATCACCATTAATAAACTACATAATATTAAAGGCACGCGCGGAGAGTTGGGCGGGGGACCTGTTCACGGAAGCCAATAAATCTGTAGAACAGGCCATCCTTAATCCTGACTCCAAGCTGATATGCTCTGGGGACTTTCATCCAAGTAACTGCGGTTACATCAGCTTTGTCAATCTCAATGGTCTTTCCTCCACCTTGTCTCTTCCATGCAAGTCCACCAGAATACACTTTAAACTGACCAGGGTTCTGCACAGGTGCAAGGGTCATGACAGTATGTTAATATTCTAAACGTTCACAAAAAGTAATAAATTGTATACTATTCAAGAGCAGCAAACAGCCAAACACAGGAGCAGAAACAGTAATAGATCTTGAACGGAAGGAATGCAAAACATTTAGTCTCAGGATTCATAAGTATAGGTATAATACCAAAGATGGTCAGGCGTCAGATAAGATTATTACTAGATCATTTTCCAATGCATAAGTTGTGAGGGTGTTCCATGTATTATAGGATCTAGGTTAGGGCAAGCATTGTTTTGTACATTAAGATAAGTACACAAAAGACATCGACAACATGGCGAACGTTAATTGTGTCAATGGAAACACAATAATTTGATAAGCACAGAGAGAGTGTGCTTTCTTTTGGCGTGCAGAGAAGGGGAGCCCTACAAAGGAATCATGTTGTATTGTATTCTTCTTGTAAGCTTCAAAAAAACGGAGAAGAGATTTGTAATTTCCTACTAGTAGATATAGGCGTCCTTGTATTATGCAGCTGTCAAGCCTAGAAAACACTCTAGCCCCCAAAACCACCATAGGAATCTAAGGTTTCGCATGAAAACCTCGGCACAAATTGGCCAAACCCAGGCCACAACAACGAAATCCAACAAGTCAGAGTGAGGAAACGCCCCCCAACCAAGCACCTGAGTCAACCAAATGGAGCAGAAAAACAAATGAAAGCGAAATTTGGCCTAAAATACGGCACAAACCCTAAAACACGACCAATACGCAGCCGCAGCTAATCGTCGGGGGAAAAATGGGCTAACCAGTTAAAATCACTAGCTTATCAGAAGTTCGCCAGCCACGACGTCATCTCGCGATATCCTATTTTCGTACCAAACCCTAGAATCGACCAAGCGGCGGCGGCGGCGGAGCTTACCGTGCCACCGCGCCCTCCGAGGAGGATGTTGTTGAAGTGGTGGCCGTCCGTCATCTCCGCCGACGCGGCACCTGGGGCCGACTGCTTGCTATCTCCCGCGCGCCGCCTCTAATCGAGCTCCGCTTCTCCGGCGAGGCCAAGTCGAGAGGCGCAGCTTGCTTCGCTGCGGCTCTGCGGTGCGGAGGCGGTAGAGGGAGGCGCGCGGCTCAACGAGGGCTGTTTTTTTAGGGGAATTCCTGGTAAGCCATAAAAAAAATCGTTACTCTAAATTTTGTTTACTCTCCGTGCCACTGATATTAGATTTGGCTCTAATAGTATCAACTATAGGTGTGAAAAGTCGAAAATACTCTTAAATTTAAATATGTTATTAATTTATTTAACATCTTAACGATTTCAAATAAAAAAACTCAAAATTAGAAAATTGTAGATCTCGTCGAGATCTATAATTTTTATATAAAAATTATCTTCTTTTAATACCGTCAAAAAGGATATGATTTTTCTAAGATATATTAATCATATTAAATCATATTTTTTGCGAAATTAAATGAAGATAATTTTTATATGAAAATTATAGATCTCGACGAGATCTATATCTTTCTAGTTTTAAATTTTTTTTATTTGAAGTCGTTAAGATGCTTAAAAAATTAATGATATATTTAAATTTAAAGATATTTTTGGCTTTTCACACCTGCAGTTTGACACCGTTAGAGCCTAATCTGACGGCAATGGCATGGAGCGAAAAAAAAAGTTAGAGCAATGGCGTTGAAGACCGCTGAACTTTTCCACTGACTCACAGGGGATTACGATTTTTTTTAATGGCTCACTAGAAATTCCCCCCTTTTGTTATAGAGAGAATTCTTTGTCAAACATTAAAAAGATCACAATCCTCTATGAGCTATTGAAAAAATTCAGTGGTCTTCAGCGCTGTTGCTCCAACTTTTTTTTGCCCTCCATGTCACTGCCGTCAGATTGAGCTCTAACGATGTCAAACTGCAGGTGTGAAAAGTCAAAAATACCCTTAAGTCTAAATATATCATTAATTTTTTTAGCATCTTAACGACTTCAAATGAAAAAACTCAAAACTATAAAGTTGTAGATCTCATTGAGATCTATAATTTTTAACTAAAAATTATCTTAATTTAATTTTGCAAAAAAAATATGATTTGATATGATTAATATATCTTAGAAAAATCATATCTTTTTTACGGTATTAAAAAAAGATAATTTTTATATGAAAATTATAGATCTCGATGAGATCTACAACTTTCTAGTGTTGAGTTTTTCCATTTGAAGTTGTTAAGATGCTAAAAAACATTAATGACATATTTAGATTTAAAGATGTTTTTGACTTTTCACACCTACAGTTTGACATCGTTAAAGCCCAATCTAACATCAGTGGCATGAAGGGAAAAAAAAGTTAAAATAGTGACATTAAAGACAGCTGAACTTTTTCAGTGTCTCATAGAGGATTACAATCTTTTTTAATGATTCATAGATAATTTCCCCTTTGTTATATAGAGCCGCAGCGAAATTGGTTGCCATCTCACCGACGCGAGGGTTCCACCTGTCAGAAGCCGCTCTTCTAGAGGATCCAGGAAGTGGGGCCCGCACGTCAGTCGTGCTTCCGCGCTCCCTTCTCGTCCCTTCTCTTCCCCACTTCGCTTCATTCCCTCGCGGTTTTGCGCATCCCCTGCCTCCCTCCATCTCTCTCGCTGCGCTCCTGCCTCCTTGTGCTCGGCCATGGCGGACTATCACTTCGTGTACAAGGACGTGGAGGGGAGGAGCACAGAGTGGGACGACATCCAGCGCCGCCTCGGGAACCTGCCTCCGAAGCCGGAGCCCTTCAAGCCGCCACCCTTCGCCCCCAAGGTCGACGCCGACAAGCAGCCCAAGTCAAAGGAATGGCTCGACGAGCGCGAGCCCGAAGAGCTCGAGGAACTCGAGGACGACCTGGACGACGACCGCTTCCTCGAACAGTACAGGTAGGGCCTCTCCGTAGGCTTGATCCGGTCTGCAGTCTGATTGCTGATCCGCGATGCTGTCTTTTCCCCGTCTGTTATTAGATGCATCTTAAGAAGCTTTAGTGCCTGCCGCGTTTGATTGATCTGATCTGACTAGCGTGGTTAATTGGTATAATTCGTGTGCTTCTGATAGGAATCTGATGTCTTTCTATTGTTGATCCGGATTCCTCGCAGTAGTTCCGGACTTTGGATTATTCAATGCGTTTTGCGATTCGTTTGGTACAAGTGGGAATTGATTGTGACGATTTGATGTAATTCCATGCCTGCAGGAAGATGAGGCTCGCAGAGCTGAGGGAGGCAGCAAAAGCCGCGCGATTTGGTAGTATAGTTCCCATCACTGGCTCGGACTTCGTGCGGGAGGTGTCTCAGGCACCATCAGATGTTTGGGTTGTGGTCTTCCTCTACAAGGATGGGTAACTCTTTCTTCACAGTTCACTGCATCCTTTTGCATGCTATGTCAATGCTTATGCATGGGAGAACAATTCTAGGGTTTATTTTATATGATTCGACCAAACAGCTCTGGAACCAGATTGAACTAAATTCAGACTTTGACTGCACTTTATTTAGTTGTGTTGGTTTTCTATAGAAAGTTGCCTGAAAAGACTAGGCAACTATGAAATTTGACTATGGTTGGCTGGATATAGGAATTCTGATACTTGTGTTGTGTGTCATTGTCTCGTAGCCAGACATTTTATTGCTGTGAGGTCCCAGCAGCTCGTACCTTCGATATATATGATCTGTGAACATGCTTTCTTTTTTCTTGTCGAACGTGCTGGAGAGTTGCGTGCTGTTTCATTGATAGATAGAAAAAATTGTCCGACTACAAACCGATTCCACGGTTGGGTTAGGTTTTTTTTATGCATGAACACAACCATTTAAACAATACATGCAGCCCCTACTAGCTGTCGCCTACTCAGCTCGCTCTAGCAGCACACGCGGCCTTCGCGCCTGCCATGGTCTAGAAATGTGCTTAATCGCTTGCCTCTTGGATTACTGCCGAGACTGACTGTGTGATTCCATCAAATACACATTGGTTTCTTTGTTTCCATAGAGTCCACGCCAGGAAGAGCACCAGTGAATTGAGGCCCTTCCTCGCCACCTTTGGAGCCCTATGTGTCGCCTCGCACCACCATGTTTGGAAGCTGTCGTGCCCAGATGGTGCTAGTGCTTGTAGGCTGTGGGCAGTGGACCAAACCTGGCGGGAGAAGACTCAGGTTGACATGAGGTGCTCAATTCCTTCCTCCTGGGTCGCTAAGTGGGCAGCAAGATGAGTGCATCAGACCGCGATTTGCCAGTCTATCCGCCGTCCAGCATCTGTTGTGCCCCGCTAGCCACAGGAAGAACTTCAGCGAAGCGGCACCCAAGACTTCCAGAGTTGCTTGCAGGGTTCAAAGGAGGTGGAACTGACAAAGAAGTGAGCATGCTTTCATGACCATATAACAAGTAGATAGCTTGGCAATTCTTGGATTTAGTGGACATTGTCCTGTTGATTTGTCCACCACTTTAAGCTGTAATGTAATTAGTTGATTGTCATGCTGCAGTTTTTCAGCATGGAGGATCTTCCATGAAATTGTTGCTCTTTTCTGTATGATGTTTTACTGCTTCCATGTGTTGCTTGCATCAAAATTGTACAGAAAGGATATCTGAATTCATTGGAGTGTAATGAGCTCCATACCTGATCTGATGCATGAAGCATGATGTTCTTTAGTAAATTGTGGCGCTTATCGAATTCTATAAATCTGATGACAGGATACCTGAATGTGGATTGCTTCAGAATTGTTTGGAGGAATTGGCTACAAGATACCCAGCGACAAAGTTTGTTAAAATTATCTCCACAGACTGCATCCCCAACTACCCAGATAGGAATGTTCCTACAATACTGGTGTATAACAACAGTGCTGTCAAAGGGACTTATGTTGGTTTGCAGAAGTTTGGTGGAAAGAGATGCACACCTGAATGTAAGTTACTACTCGTATACTGCAAATTAGTATTCAGTATCTGCTTTTCCCGTTAGTTGATTGATTCCAGTTGCTCCAATTCATTGTGCTGTTGATAGGTCTTTTTGAGCTCACACCTGTAAATTTATGAATGGCATATTGGCCTATGCCATTTAGCCCCCACAATCCGCTTCCTTTTGGATATACCACCTGAACTTCCTTAACTAAAGCAAAATATTTTGACCTTCAGGTGATAATTTTTTAAAAAAAAAAATCAATAGTAAACAATTCATTATGACCTGCGTGCCTTAATGCATACACTCCCCAGATCCAGTCTTGATTTGTCTGCGTTGTTTCATGTGTCAAATATTTCGATGGTGTTTGTCTAAAATAGCAGCATGCTGGTTCCCAGATCTTAGCATATCATTGATCCTTTTCTGTAATAAGAAATTAGAGAATAATCTGTCACATTTAGATTACACTAAATTTATGGAAGCTTTCCTTTACCTCTACATCGTTCCAGAAATTCTTTTCCCAGCAATATACATGGGTTTCATCTATTTACACTAAGTCACTGTTATGTTCCTTTCAGCTGTTGCGTTAGCCCTTTGCCAGTCAGACCCAGTACTGAATGATGGGCATGGTGGCAGCGATTCATCTCGGGACAATGTCATTGAAGGTGTTCGCAGGAAGTTCATAGAGAAGGTTGTGGCCCAGCATGAAGAGCGCGAAGAAGAGGATAGTGACTAAGCTTATACTTTTTGTGTTAGTTTTCCTCAGCTGGCAGATCCAATTTGGTTCCAATGTTTACTGATTTTATATGATTTTGTGGATGAAATTTGCCGGAGTTTTCTGGTTACCTGGTTGTGCGGGTGAAGCTTTTAACAGTTCACGGATCTTGTTGCCTGGTTTTGCAGTTAGAGATGTGGAACCATAACTGTATGGGACCAGCAAAATCTTTGTGTTAGTAACCTTTCAACTGTAACATAGCTCCATTATCTTGTTTAAGAGATCAGAGATTATTAGTGCACTTGTATAATTGCATGAGAAAAGATCCACCCAAACCTTTGAATCCATAGTATTTCACTATCCTGAA